CAGGTGTATATCAGTATGTAGTGTCTCTACTTTAAAGAGTCCTCTCCTGCTGATGTTCAGGTGTATATCAGTATGTTGTGTCTCTACTTTAAAGAGTCCTCTCCTGCTGATGTTCAGGTGTATATCAGTATGTAGTGTCTCTAGTTTAAAGAGTCCTCTCCTGCTGATGTTCAGGTGTATATCAGTATGTAGTGTCTCTACTTTAAAGAGTCCTCTCCTGCTGATCCTCAGGTGTATATCAGTATGTAGTGTCTCTACTTTAAAGAGTCCTCTCCTGCTGATGTTCAGGTGTATATCAGTATGTAGTGTCTCTACTTTAAAGAGTCCTCTCCTGCTGATGTTCAGGTGTATATCAGTATGTAGTGTCTCTACTTTAAAGAGTCCTCTCCTGCTGATGTTCAGGTGTATATCAGTATGTAGTGTCTCTACTTTAAAGAGTCCTCTCCTGCTGATGTTCAGGTGTATATCAGTATGTAGTGTCTCTACTTTAAAGAGTCCTCTCCTGCTGATGTTCAGGTGTATATCAGTCTGTCTCTACTTTAAAGAGTCCTCTCCTGCTGATGTTCAGGTGTATATCAGTATGTAGTGCCTCTACTTTAAAGAGTCCTCTCCTGCTGATGTTCAGGTGTATATCAGTATGTAGTGTCTCTACTTTAAAGAGTCCTCTCCTGCTGATGTTCAGGTGTATATCAGTCTGTCTCTACTTTAAAGAGTCCTCTCCTGCTGATGTTCAGGTGTATATCAGTATGTAGTGCCTCTACTTTAAAGAGTCCTCTCCTGCTGATGTTCAGGTGTATATCAGTACAGTATGTAGTGTCTCTACTTTAAAGAGTCCTCTCCTGCTGATGTTCAGGTGTATATCAGTATGTAGTGCCTCTACTTTAAAGAGTCCTCTCCTGCTGATCTTCAGGTGTATATCAGTATGTAGTGCCTCTACTTTAAAGAGTCCTCTCCTGCTGATGTTCAGGTGTATATCAGTATGTAGTGTCTCTACTTTAAAGAGTCCTCTCCTGCTGATGTTCAGGTGTATATCAGTATGTAGTGTCTCTACTTTAAAGAGTCCTCTCCTGCTGATGTTCAGGTGTATATCAGTACAGTATGTAGTGTCTCTACTTTAAAGAGTCCTCTCCTGCTGATGTTCAGGTGTATATCAGTATGTAGTGCCTCTACTTTAAAGAGTCCTCTCCTGCTGATGTTCAGGTGTATATCAGTATGTAGTGTCTCTACTTTAAAGAGTCCTCTCCTGCTGATCCTCAGGTGTATATCAGAAAAATATCTTCTTTTATTCCCCAATTGTTGCTTCAACGCTGTCTGAGTTCCTGCAGCCTTACTGTAGTTTCTTTATCTTAACTCACCTGTCAACAAAACAAAAGTCCTCTTAGTCGTTCCTGTTATCCCTGCCATCAAACTCCCAGTACATGTATCATGAACACAGTGTAAAAGCTGTCGTTTCTTGAAGGTTCATAGATGATCTTTCGGGGGCCTTTGAAGGTCTGGCTGGTCGCAGCTGAACTCTGGCCAGAAGGCATCTGTTACTCAACAACATCTGTTCCTGTTACTCTCTTTCTCCCAGCATGCCGAGGGACACGCAGGCTCTCCCAAGGGTGGCCCTTTTGTGTGCCCCATTGTCAATTCCATCATTGTCTTTTTCGAAGTCTGTTCCCATAATGCCGCGGGGTTATAAACCCCTTCAGAGGCCATTTCTACCGGGCGGATGATTTACAGTTATTTGTGTCTAAAAAACAATCAGCGTCTCTGTGTTGGGGGGAGGCAGGGGGGGGGGGGGGATTAAGAAAGAGAACTGAGGGGAATTTAAAGAGGTAATGGGTAAGACATTTAAATAGGCTGATTTTATAACACATGTTTACTTACAGCTTCGTATGTTTATATAAATATTTATTTAGTTTATTCTAAAGTGGTTACGAATTGCAAATTTCCCGTCAGATAATTAAAGTGTTTGGATTTTAAGTCAAATCAGAATGAAAATACTTGAGTTACCCCAGGGGGGAATTAGGATTTGTGACAGTTGTACCATTAGTAAGACTTTAGGGAAAAAAGTCAGAATTCTTAGATTTTCTGAGTTTTCTTTTTTGATGTTGAGAATTTTGGGGGGATTTTCAGAAATGTCGTCTTTTTTAATTTTTAATTTAATGCTTACTTTAGTCGGAATCAGAAATGTACAAGAAAACTTTACTTTAATGTAAAAAGCTTCCGTTTTTTGTGAGAAAAATCCCCACAACAGTTATTTTTACTGTAAGCAGGAGGGAGGAAAACCCATAGTATTTGAAAACGTCACGAAACCCCTGCCCCCCTGATTTAAATGTCCCCCCTAACTTGTTTCCCCCCTGATTTAAATGTCCCCCCTAACTTGTTTCCCCCCTGATTTAAATGTCCTCCCTAACTTGTTTCCCCCCTGATTTAAATGTCCCCCCTAACTTGTTCCCCCCTGATTTAAATGTCCCCCCTAACTTGTTTCCCCCCTGATTTAAATGTCCCCCCTAACTTGTTTCCCCCCTGATTTAAATGTCCCCCCTAACTTGTTTCCCCCCTGATTTAAATGTCCCCCCTAACTTGTTTCCCCCCTGATTTAAATGTCCCCCCTAACTTGTTTCCCCCCTGATTTAAATGTCCTCCCTAACTTGTTCCCCCCTGATTTAAATGTCCCCCCTAACTTGAGCAGATATGTAAGAGAACTTGACTTCAGTGTAATGAAATGAGTGAGAAAACCCCACTAAAGTTATTTTTGCTCTGAAGGGGAAGGAAGGAAAATGGTCCAACTGTCACTAATCCTATTTTCTTCTAGAAAAAAATGTAGTATTTCATTCTGATTTAATGTTTTCTCTTTTGCTTTTGCAGATATGTACAAGAAAAACTCTACTTACTTTAAAAAGCTTTAGATTTGAGTGAGAAACCCCCCACTAAAGTTATTTTTGCTGTAAACTGGAAGTGTGGAAAACCCACAGAACTGGAAAATGGTACAGCTGTCTGGGATAATTCAAGTATTTTGATTCTGATTTAAAGTGTTTCTCTCGTACTTTAGCAGATATGTACGAGAGAACTTGACTACAGTGTAAAAAGCTTCAGAAATGAGTGAGAAAACCCCCCAGTAAAGTTATTTTTGCTCTAAAGGGGAAGCGTGGAGAACCCAAAGTGTTGGAAAGCTGTCATGAATCCTAATTTCCTCCTGGGATAATTCAAGTATTTTGATTCTGATTTAAAGTGTTTCTCTCGTACTTTAGCAGATGTGTACGAGAGAACTTGACTACAGTGTAAACAGCTTCAGAAATGAGTGAGAAAACCCCCCCAGTAAAGTTATTTTTGCTGTAAACTGGAGAACAGTGACTCCTCACATGGAACATTTACAAAAAGGGAAGAGGAAACTTTAGGGACACTTTGAGGAAGTCCTCACAACAATAATCTCCTGAGCACAGCCACCACACTTCAGAGGTTCCGCCCACTGATCTCCGACCTTGTCAGGTATTGAACATTCAATAAAATGAAGAACACAGAATTACTTAATATAAAACACAGAATTTGTGTGATTATGCAAAATGATTTACAAATAAACCCCACTGCATATTTACAACTAAAGACACTTGAGGTTTAAAAGAAAAAGCTTCAGGTTTTAGTGAGAAAACCCCCTCTAAAGTTATTTTTGCTTTAAACGGGAAGCGTGGAATACCCAAATAACGCAAAAATGGTACAGCTGTCATGAATCCTTCCTTTTCTCTTATAGTTGTGCAGATATGTACAAAACAACGTCAGTTTAAAAAAAAAAAAGCTTCAATTTTTTGTGAGAAAACAAGTTATTTTAGCTGTAAACGGTAAGTGTAGATAAACTAAAGTGTTGGAAAATGGTACAACTGTCATGAATCCTGAGTGTTCTCCTGTACTTGTGCAGATATGTACCAAAAAGCTTCAGTTTTTAGTGAGAAAACCCCCAGTAAAGTTATTTTTTGCTGTAAACAAGAAGTGTAGATAACAAAAAGTGTTGGAAAATGGTACAGCTGTCATGAGTCCTACGTGTTCTATTGTGTAGATATGTACAAAAGACACTTGAGTTTTAAAAGAAAAGCTTCAGATTTGAATGAGAAAACCCCCAAGTGAAGTTATCTTTGCTGTCAACAGGAAGGGAGGATAACCTAAAGTGTTGGAAAATGGTACAGCTGTCATGAGTCCTACGTTTTCTCTCATACTTGTGCAGATATGTACTAAACAACGTCAGTTTTCTTTTTTAAAAGTTTCCATTTTTTGTGAGAAAACAAGTTATTTTAGCTGTAAACAGTAAGTGTAGATAACCTAAAGTGTTGGGAAATGGTACAACTGTCATGAGTCCTTAGTGTTCTCCTGTACTTGTGCAGATATGCACAAAAAAGCTTCAGTTTTTTGTGAGAAAACCCCTAAGTAAAGTTATTTTAGCTGTAAACGGGAAGCGTGGAATACCCAAAGAACTGGAAAATGGTACAGCTGTCATGAATCCTTCCTTTTCTCTTATACTTGTGCGGATATGTACCAAACAACTTCGGTGTTAAAAGAAAAAGTTTCAGGTTTTAGTAAGAAAGACCCCCAGTAAAGTTATTTTTGCTGTAAACGGGGGGCGTTTAAGCAAAGAACAGATTTTAATGAGACAACCCCCCACTAAAGTTATTTTAGCTGTCAACAGGAAGGGAGGAAGACCCAAAGTCCAGGAGGCGTTTCTTCACATTGATCTGACTTTCAGAGCCATGAATTACCTGACTTGTTCTTTAGGCGGAGGAATAGGAGTGGTAAATCTAGCGTAGGGACATTGTTTTTTTATGAATAGGCCCCTCTCCCGTCTCCAGGGAAACACTTTCAACTCCTGGCAGCAGCCAACAGTTTGGGCACAGAAAGGCCCACTATGGGGTCCTCAGGGGAAGACAACAGATGTTCCTGATTAACTTTGCTCACAGACCAGAAGTGTTTTTCACAGTGCTTGCAGATGGATAAAACAAAAGTTGGACACAATTAAAATTTCATGTTTAGCAATATTTATTTGGAAAAATAGTCTTGGCTAATTCCTTCATTCAAAAACGGTAAAGGAGACGGTAACATAACAATTTGTACAGTACAATCCCTCTTAAATAACATTTTCTTTAAAAAAAAGTCCCATTGACCTGAAGTGCCTTTGCAAAATATCATCATTAATAAAAAAAAAGCAACTTAAATAATCATAACAAACATCACAAATATACAATACGAAATAAAAATAACACAAAATCATTAAATTAACTTAAATTAAATCATAATTTTAAACTTTTTTCTTGTTTTTTTCTTTCTTTATTTTACAAAATCTGTATCAAAAAGCAACATTTTATTTATTTAATTAAGACAAAAGTTTTCATGTCCCGAAAAGAAACTGAAAAGAGTTGAACAATACTATGTCATAAATGGTTTTGGAGGGCTTAGGGAAGGAAAACGCACTTCAGTGTACACAGCGATCAAGAATACATTACAGTCTTCACAGTGCAGCGATGGGTGCACAGCCCAAAAACAGCCTCGAGAAGAACAGGCCAGTATGGCCAAACATCCACCGTTTGATGCAGTTCCTACGCTCAGCAACACGTGTGGGTTAGAGAAAAGGCCTGGGTGCAAATGTTGCAAAAACAAAAAAATCGTAGCGTCGCACGTTAGCGCCACGAGACAGTGTCCGTTTATATTTTTTTACTATTTTTACTCCCCGATAAAAGGCAGAACAGAAAGCTAAGTGGCAGTTTACTTTCAACCGTAAACTTTGTATTTATACCCCGCCAGTTCTTATCCCACACGCTGCCTGCGCTTATTTTTTTCCAGTAGAGAACCAGCTCACTCTGAATATCAGTTAAACGTCTCAGTATCAGCAGCAGTCTCAAGGCGGGACACCTCCCCCTAGGGTTTAGAGCAGCATCTGAAGGAGTATTAAAACTCTCCCATAGAGCAAATGAGCAACGGGCAGCCCACTGGTGGCTCGTTACACCTGGAGGGACACGAGAAGACAAAAGAAGCGTTAGGGTTTGTTCGACAGACGACCACAGAGAGACGAGTTTCAACACTGAAATGTATAACAGAGTAAAACATCGGAAACTCACCTCAGTTGCAATTATACATTCGTCCTTTTCCTCTGACATCACAAACACAGATTTGTACTTGGTGTCCGCACATGCAGACATTTCTGGGGCGTTCTTTTCTGATGAATCGCTTTAAGAAAGAAAGACGTGGTTAGTTTTATCGTTCTTATAGCTTCAGTGCTACATTAGCATTAGCATTACATTACATTAAGCGCTTTGAGCACCAGGAAAAGCGCTATATAAATCACATGTATTATTATTATTAGAGACCGTCAGACAGATATTTACCATTTTAATCGTTTGCTGCGTTTCTCCTCGAACTCAAACGAGTCGTGGGATTGGCACTTGTCTTCGCTGGCCGCCTCCAGCATGGCTTCCTTCGCCGCCTGCTCGTAGTTGACCTCCTGTACGAGGTTGTAGTCTGAAGGCTGATGGCGGCTCTTGTAGCTGCTCCTCCCCGGTGGAGACCCCTCGTCAGGATCGCTGCTGCAGAAGTCCATCTTCTTGTTGATGTTTTTAACTCCCGGCGTCGGCATCATGCTGACCGCCAGATCTCTGTCACCTCGATGACAGTTGTTGGTCAGGTTGTTTATTGTCTCTACCTCACCAACTGTTTCTATTTGACCGCCCCGCTGGACTTTCGATCGGAAAAATCCAACAAGAACGGCGCATCCCGCCAGCAGAAGAAGAACCAAAGCCACGCCGGACCCAACGGCCATCCAGGGAATGTCGGACCCTCGGATCGCTGCGTGTTCTGGGAGCAGGAACTGGCAGTTTCTTCCTCCGTATCCGGGAACGCACGCGCACACGTAGCGGTTGTTCCTCTCGTGGCACGTGGCTCCGTTGTGGCACGGGTTGTGTTCACAGCGGCTGATTGGAGAGCTGCAGTTTCGCCCAGTGATCCCCGGCGGGCAGGAGCAGATGTATCCGTCGAGGCCTTCCTGACACGTGGCGCCGTTTCGGCACGGGTACATCGAGCACTCGTCCCCCGTGTGGTCGCAGTTCATGCCCGTGAAACCCTCGGGACACTGACACAGGTACGAGTTGACCAGATCCACACAGCGAGCACCTGTAGGCAGAATCAGACATGTTTAGTGTCAGAAAAATAACACTCGTCACCGGCTTGAGCTTCAATCTCAGGATCCATGTATTTGTGATCCTCTCCAGAATGGAAGTAGTCATCACATACAGAGCATCAACTAGTTCCTGAACAGTGTCCTTCACATGCTGATATCCAAGAGAGGGAGTTACACAGTCCCAAGATGGAGGAATAGAAAGCAGTATTCAATGTTTACTTCAGATTAGCTCCACGTCAGAAATCATGCTTGTCATATGTCTATCTCCATAGAGGCTGAATCATCATGTTAATCACATAGCTATCATATGCCTCAAACAGTCCTGATGCTCTTCTAGGTAATCATACATCCTGTCATGTACACAGCTACAGTTAGGATACCTTTGTTAGCATGTGTGCTCTCATATTGGAAGAGGACATTCACTATTTTCCCAACATTTAATAATGCTGGAGTAACATCTGATGGAGTAAGCACTCCTTTGTGCACCAGGCAATCCTCAAATTAAATACAGAGTTAAATCCCTAGTCGAATGTACGTTAGAGGTTCTTCAGTGTTTGAGATGTTATGTTTGCTCCCTTGTATCTTGTCTTAAATATTTGACTTTGTTGATGAACTCGATCTGACAATACATTATTATCGTACCGTATCGTATCTTATTACACGGCTATACACGATATTTCAGAGGTTGTTAATAGTTGATAAGCAAAATAACGACCGTTGCTAAGTAGGATCAAGGGTGAGAAAGGGAAAGAGGTTAAAAGACAGAGCGCTGGACGTCAGATAAATCAACAGAAGAAGACAGCGGAGAGATCTTAATCAGCCTCCCTTAAAGGTCCCCTATTATACTGTTCTTCATCAGTATATTACAGGTCTCAGATATATACAAAACATGTCTCTGAAGTGTTTGAAACACCAAACAGATCATTGCAGCATCCCATAATCCCCTCTGTTTCAGCCCTGTTTCCAAAGTGCTGATTCTCTGTGTGTTACTTTAGATGAAAATAAGGAGCCCCTCCCCACGCCCCTCTGAGAGACATTTGGTTACAAAGAACTCAATGGTGCTCTAGGAGGAGATTCAGGTGATAAGGTGGGGGGGTGTTACCTTGGTTGGTGATTGGCTAATGGTTACACAAGCCAACACATCGTTATGACATCATAAAGTGGCCAAAATCTGATCAGCTCATTTTCAGACAGGTTTTTATAAAAATGGATCAGGATTCAGAGTCTCTTTCCACAGAGGGGACACATGTAGATGTAGAAGAGACATGAAGAAGAGGGGACACATGTTGATGTAGAAGAGACATGAAGAAGAGGGGACACATGTTGATGAAGAAGAGACATGAAGAAGAGGGGACACATGTAGATGTAGAAGAGACATGAAGAAGAGGGGACACATGTAGATGTAGAAGAGACATGAAGAAGAGGGGACACATGTTGATGAAGAAGAGACATGAAGAAGAGGGGACACATGTAGATGTAGAAGAGACATGAAGAAGAGGGGACACATGTTGATGAAGAAGAGACATGAAGAAGAGGGGACACATGTAGATGTAGAAGAGACATGAAGAAGAGGGGACACATGTTGATGTAGAAGAGACATGAAGAAGAGGGGACACATGTTGATGTAGAAGAGACATGAAGAAGAGGGGACACATGTTGATGAAGAAGAGACATGAAGAAGAGGGGACACATGTTGATGTAGAAGAGACATGAAGAAGAGGGGACACATGTTGATGTAGAAGAGACATGAAGAAGAGGGGACACATGTTGATGTAGAAGAGACATGAAGAAGAGGGGACACATGTTGATGTAGAAGAGACATGAAGAAGAGGGGACACATGTTGATGTAGAAGAGACATGAAGAAGAGGGGACACATGTTGATGTAGAAGAAACATGAAGAAGAGGGGACACATGTTGATGTAGAAGAGACATGAAGAAGAGGGGACACATGCTGATGTAGAAGAGACATGAAGAAGAGGGGACACATGTTGATGTAGAAGAGACATGAAGAAGAGGGGACACATGTTGATGTAGAAGAGACATGAAGAAGAGGGGACACATGTTGATGAAGAAGAGACATGAAGAAGAGGGGACACATGTTGATGAAGAAGAGACATGAAGAAGAGGGGACACATGTTGATGAAGAAGAAACATGAAGAAGAGGGGACACATGTTGATGAAGAAGAGACATGAAGAAGAGGGGACACATGTTGATGTAGAAGAGACATGAAGAAGAGGGGACACATGTTGATGTAGAAGAGACATGAAGAAGAGGGGACACATGGTGATGTAGAAGAGACATGAAGAAGAGGGGACACATGTTGATGTAGAAGAGACATGAAGAAGAGGGGACACATGGTGATGTAGTGTATCGTATCGAACAGATTGCATGAGATAACCCTCCCTCCTGGACCAGTCTCTCTTACCGTTGGAGCAGGGCGTGGAGGAGCAGTGGTCGATCTTCTTCTCGCAGGTGAACCCGGCGTACCCTGTGGGGCACTGGCAGAAGTATCCTCCGTCTGGGTTGTCGGCACAGCGGCCGTCGTTGGAGCACGGCCCGTCGGCACACGTCATGGCACTCAGCTCACAGTTTTTGCCATAAAAACCGTGAGGGCAAGTGCAGGTATACGTGTTTTCCAAATCCTGCGAGGGGAAGAAATAGAAACAGGTTCGACATCAAGGTCTGTCTTTGGCAGCTGCTGAATCTTTTTGGATCTCAACATCTGTGAGATTCCCATTAGGTGAAGTTGAAACTAATGCTTTCAACTAACCTAATTACAGTTTTGTGAAATCTGTTGACATAATACATTTCATTAAAGTCAACGTTTCAGTTAACTACTTTTACTCTGGGTACTTAAAGTATGTTATGATGCTAATCCTTTTAAACCTAAGAACACATTTCAATACAGGACTTTTAATTGTAACTGAGTATTTTTACACTGTGGTATTGCTACTTTTACTTATAATCTGAACACTTCTTCCACCTACTGAGCCCCAGCTTGCACGATGTCTCTATCCTCCCTACTAAATTCTTTTTTTTAAAAAAGAAGACCAAACACTTACGGCACAGCTTCCTCCGTTGCGACAGGGGTTTCCGGCACATTCGTTGACCTGCATCTCACAGCTGGACCCAGTGAAGCCCGGTCTGCAGGAACAGGTGTAGCTTCCCTGACCCGTGTTGCTACAAGTGGCTCCATTCATGCAGGGCCTGTGGTGGGTGCAGTAGTTGAGATCTGGAGAGACACATGTGGATTAGCCACAGCTCAACACATGGCAGAACAACAGCAGCAGCAGCAGCGACAGAATGTGTTTTGTCCTCCGGCACACTTGACTCTTTCTCTTCTTCCAGTGGTTTTTTGTTTCCTTTTGAGCCCTCCCTGCTGTTCCTGCTGTTCACACCGAGACAACTGCTGCTCTGTTGTGGTTTCTGCACCACAGTGGTGAGACTGCTATGTTGCTATTTTGATCCTCTTCAATTTCTTTTTGTCTTTACGAGACTTTGAAATGTTGCTAAACAGTCCTTGGCCGGAGAGGAAAGATCCTGAGCAGAGCTACCCTAGATAAACTCGGCATATAAATCCCTTTTTGGCACTTTATATTCCTAGACACTCTCTTCCAAATAAGCATTGCTTACACTCTGACACAGATGTGGTGATTTGTCGAGGTTTCTAGGGAAGAGTTGGGCGACATTTGGTTTCAACGTCAGTTTCTTTTTTGGACATATAGTTTCTGTTTAATCAGCTTTTCAATGAACGATCTTCCAAATGTAGTTAGGGTCTCTTTGTTTATATGTCCATTGAAATGCTGTTGATGTAGGCGATGACATACAGCAAAGATCCTGAGCTGAACTAGAAAACTCTGCATCCATACACTTTTCTGTGACTCTCTTCACATTAAGCATGGCTTAGGTTATTGACAATTGATATAAACAAAGACACAGATGTGTCGATTTGCGAGATTTGGAGGAGGAATTTTGGCTAAAGTTGGTTTAAAAGTCACTTTTTTTGGACTTATCTGTTTATCCGTTTAAACCGCTTTTCAATCCCCATTCTTCCAAACGGTCTTTTTCTTGTTTACAAGAAAATGCTGATGATTTCAGACTTTTATGTAACCTTAACTTTCTAACCTAACACTTTTTGATCAACAAATTCCCCAATTGATATAAATCTAGACACAGATGTAGTGGATTGGCGAAGATTTAGTTTGGACATATAACGGTTTAAACAACTTTTCAATCTGCATTCTTCCAAATGTAGTTAGGGAATGCTCTTATTTATACATCCATCAAAATGCTGATGATTAAAGACTTTCAGGTAACCACAACTTTCACTTTTTAACCCAACTTTTTCATCAGCAAATCACCTATCAGTGCTCTCTGCTTCCTTTCCTTTCTAGCCTCACTCCTCACTCCTCACTCCCCCCCACACTCTCATCTCATCCTCACCTTGGTTGCAGAAGAGCCCCCCCCAGCCCTCCTGACAGTTGCACTGCCACGGCTGCTGGCAGGTCCCATGGAGGCAGCCCGGATAGCGGATGCACTCGTCGCAGTAGCGGCCTTTGAATCCCACTCTGCACCTGTTGTTGTCCAATTAGGAGGGAAACACCGGTCAGAACACTCACATTACTTCATGTGTCCCACTAATTCATTAATGCCCCAGTGAACAGGAGAAAAAACGTACTTGCACTCTCCGGGTTTCTCACAGAAGCCGTGCTCTTCATCGCAGCCTGGCAGGCAGATTGCTGTGGAAGAGAAAGAGAGAAGCTGTTAGGATATTTGTTTGCTTTTTATATAAATCTCAAGAAAGTCATTAAAAATCAAGGACAGGGAGGTGCTCTGAAACAACTGTAACGCTGACATATATATATTTGCTATCAACTAACCTAATACAGTTTTGTGAAATCTATTGACACAATACTTTTAAAGTCACCGTTTCAGGTTGTTCAGTGTAAACCCATTAGCTGATACCTTAAACTCCTTATCACCGTGGAAGAATGTTCTGCTTAACATAGTGCTGAGACAAAGGAGGGAGTGTGTGAACGTGTGTGTGCCACTGAGTCTACACACTCACACACACAGACCCCGTCAACCCACCCCACCACCCTCTTTTTTTTTTTTCTTCTTCTTCGCTGCGGGTCAAAACTCTTTTATTCATTCTGTGCACACACACACACACACACACACACACACACTCACACACTCCCCTTAATGTCTCGGATTGGGGCAGATAAGAGTGGACAGCTGGCGAGTGTGTTGCCAGTGCGCGACAGCTGCTCCATTGTCTCCTCTCTGCCGGCAGCTGCCCACTTCAAACAATACCTCCCCCGCCTCAGCCAATCAGCGCCCGGCCCACTCCCACAGTAACCAATCGGAAGGGAGCATGTACATTTATGGCACGCGTGAGATTATTCCCCAAAACTTTCCTTAGAATAAATCAAGTGGTCGTGTGTGTGTGTGAGGGAGGAGGAGGGGGTGCGCGTGGTGTTTACGCACAAGTTGCCTTCTAACGGCACTCAGAGGATCTGATTACAGACCCAACGTAGAAATTAACTTTTTATACGTTTTCCACAAAGAAAGATACTTAACTTGTATTAAGTTTAAAGTAATGGTGTTTTAACCCAAAATATCCTCTGTATCCATTGTGTGTGTATTTGGTTTAAAATATATGTTAAGATCCAGCTTCTCACACACCTCACATATGCTCCTAATAATATTACAGAAATAGAAACAATAAATGAACTTTGTAAATGTTCTTACAACCAAAGTGCATTACGTTTACTCTCTTTATAACCAGTTTAAAAAACACTACTGGGTGTTTTATCTCACAAAATATCATCTGCATCCTTTTTTTTGGTGTGTGTTTTAAAAGAGATGTTGTCTCCATCACCACACACACACACACACACACACACACACACACACACATGCACATGCTCCCAATACAATATCAGAGTTACTCACGTTCAGTGCAGTAGTGTCCCTTCCACCCGGAGTCGCACACTATCTCCCCCCGCTCTCCACAGGTGAAGTGGCCGAAAGCATCGTCTCTGGGCCGGCAGAAAACCGAGCACCCGTCCCCGTAGTAGTGCTCATCACACACGAACCGGTACGAGTACTTGAGCTCCGTCTTGCCTACAGTGTGCAGATCCTGGGACCATACCTCTCCCACAGTCAGGTGCCTCTGAGTGGTCATGGTGCTGATAACGCGGTCTGGAATATCTAAAATGCACATGTGGATGCAGAAAGTGAGGATTAAGGGATAAAAATGGTTTGAATGTGGTAAAAATGTTAGTGTAGTGGTGTTTTTTTCCTACCTGTCATGAGGTCGTCTTTGGAGTCGGTGTGTAATGCCTCAATGATCAGCGAGAAGGTCCCCTGGGAACACAAATGGCTTCATGAGACAGGTGGCCAGCGGAGATAACATCAGGAAGAACGCCCGAGGCGATTGTGCCTTATACACTCACTGAATGCAAACTGCGTATAACCTGATCCGCTGAAACTAAATACCTGGACAACTTTCAGCCCTTAAAGTGGTTGTCAGACAAAGTGCTGAGGCGCGTTTTTACGCACGGATTTACCCCCAAAAATGGCGCGATTTCGCTACCTTCACTTCTACTGTATCTGACATGAATGGGTGTACTTACAGGCCACGTGAAGCCGAAGTTAATCCTGACGGGGTTTGAGAACGAGCTCTCCGGGATGACATCGGGGACCTGGAAGGAGTTGGAGCCCAGAACAGGCGTCACAGCGCCGCCGTATGTGCACGGAGGCTCGGGGGATGCGTTGGGTTGGTAGTGCTTGAGACAAATCCTGAAGAAGGTTTTACAATCGCACTGCTGCTGGAAGGACGACATCAGGCCTCCTTTACAGCAGTTTTTGTTGCCCTGTATTCCCTTCTTGTTTAGGAACTCCTGCAACTTCAGCTCAAAAACTCCCGAACATAACCCCTGTGGAGGAAAGTTATTTTCATTAACTAAACACACACAGTACCGCCAGCGTGTGTGTGTGTTGTGGTGGGAGGGGAAGGGAAGGGGGGTTCATTGATTGTGAAATAGAGAATGTGTGTCTCACCTGGCACAGCATCATGGACATGACGGTGAGAGTCAGCAGGCTGACGCGCCGCATTTTAAATAAATACATAATAAATAATAAATAAATAAAATAAAAAGTCTCGGGGCTCGGCTTGTCCTCAGGGTGCCTGCTCCTCTTCAGTCCCTCTGAGGAAGATGCATTGAGCACGTTTCTGTCGCCTCAATGGGGTTTTCTCTCCCCTCCACTCTCATTCATGTCCCGAGGAACAAAAAGGATAAATCCCAAACCTTGAAAAAGCGAAAAATAGAAAAAAGCCACAAAACAAGATGTGTGTGCGTCAGAGAAGTCCTCCAGTTCCGTTATAATCCAGTGCGTAAAGAGGGGGGAAAGATGGGTTCCTTGTTTTTGTTTTCTTAAGAAAGTGGCTAAAGGAAGTAGCTTTGTTTGTGTCTAACCCAAGGACAGATTTGTCACTGGTCCAACATAATTCCTTCTCCCCCCTAATGTCTTTCCTCACTGTGAACTGTGCGTCTGTCTCCAGCCAAGGCCGCCTGCAGCCTGTTATATACGGCCTGACACATGCTATGCTAATAACATGCAAATAGTCACCCCTCCTCCTCCTGCGCGACTTCACCTCCCAATCTGGCCCGGCTCTCCACAATGGGGTCCCATGCAAGTAGCCCCCTTATTACCCCTGCAGCAGCAACGCGTTAATATCTCAGCCCAAAATGGAGACGTGTGAAAGTATTTTCGATATAATAAGAGTGAACATACAAAAAAAGGATCTGAGTGACTCCTACAGGCGGAGGAGAAGAATATCAGATAACCTGTTGAGGAGAAAAGATGAATGAAAGTGTCTACCTTTTATAACATATTGCAGGTTTAAGAGGTGGTCATGCTAGCATTAACAAGGCTAGGAGGAAATATGATTGACTTTGTATTACTTTTGTAATTGTTTTACAGATCATTAAGTCGTTTTCTTTACAATAAATGCCCAAAGTGTTTCAATTGAATCTGGAAAACGTTATCTCAGATGTTAATAGATCATAGTTTATTTTGAAATAAATGAAAATGTATATGTATCTCTTTTCTTTACACTAAAGTCTGAACAAGTTACATCAGGAACATGTTATCTGAGATTCAAAGAGTCCCACTGAACCCAAATGTAAAGAGCCACACACGCCAGGTTTCCTTTGACAGGAAGTTAATGGCGTGTGGTTGAATTGTTCCCTCCAGCTGTTGCCTCGCTGGACAATCCCCTTTGTTTTTAGGCGTCTTTACATGTTTTGGGTAAAATGCCAAAAACAAACCCCCTAAAAAGCAGCTTGAAGTTGATTCATAAGGAAAAAAAGGAGAACAAAAATGTTTTTGGTGAAACCCTGACTCAGTTAATTGTTTACACCCCTCCTCCACCTCCCCCTCTTCCTCCCTCTTTCATTACACTCCCCTCTGAATTTTGGCTATTTCTGGTTGTGGGAAGAATTCAGAAAGACTAAAGAAAGCATTCCTTGGCAGAGCTGCGCGGTGAGGTAAACGACTTTGAGGGGCTGGACGTTTCCATTTTGCTCCCTTTCTCCTCACTAACATTTTTTTTTTAACCGCGTGTGTGCATGCAAGTGCATTGATGTGTGTGTGTGTGCAAAAGGGCGCGCGCACCGGCTCGCGTGGCCAACATGAGGGGGAACTTTTGTTATTGTGTGTGTGTGTGTGTGTGTGGTGTGTGTGTATGTGTGTGTGTGTGTGTGTGTGTGTGTGTGTGTGTGTGTGTGTGTATGTGTGTGTGTGTGTGTGTGTGTGTGTGTGTGTGTGTGTGTGTGTGTGTGTGTGTGTGTGTGTGTGTGTGTGTGTGTGTTGGAGGAATAAGTTTGCTCTCCCCCCCCTCAGCTGTATGGTAATTCAGCCAGCACCTGCTCTCCCCTCAATAACAGCGGGAGCGCGCCTCCCTTAGCAGAGTGCGCGTCCACATGTCCCATACACAATACACTCTCCCCTTCCCTCCACACACACACACACACACACACACACACACACACACACACACACACACACACACACACACACACACACACACACACACACACACACACTTCCATTCACATCAAACAAACATAACCTGACAAATATCGCATATATTTTCCCCTAATTTTGTCTTTTAATATTGACCAAATGTCGAAAAAAATACATAATTTAAGTCGTGTGTGTGTGTGTGTGTGTGTGTGTGTGTGTGTGTGCGCGTGTGCGTCTGTGTGATAGGGAGCAGGATGGGAGTTGTTTCTTAATTAGGTCCTTCATTAGAAGTGGGATTTTTAATGGGGCTGCCGTGCACGTACATTGCGTCACTTTGCTCAGATATGACGTCACGGATATGTTTCTCCGGTTACCTGATGCTGGGACAATCAACCCCCCCCCCATGCCCCCCATCCCACCACCAAACAAATGAGACACGCTTTCCCCTTCTCATCCAAATTACCTTCACTTCTCCTGATGTGTCCTATAGTTAATTATTACCTCCAATCAATGGCAGATACAACCAGACAAAGTCCTCCTCCTCTAATAAACCTATCCATCTGGGGAAATGTATCAAGCCAAACGCCAGCTGATCCGTGACCATCGCGATTTAAGGGACAAAAACAAAATCAATGTTTATTTTCACTCAGAGAAAGCAAACGTTTCTGTATAGTCTTTAAAGGAGAGAGACTGAACTGTTTTACAGCTACAATTAAGAACAACTCTCAGTTTGGAGCCACTGAACCTTTTAGATGACTTTTAATACACAGAAAGTCTAACCATGAAGAGCTGCAGGCTTATATATTTGAACTATAAGCCGAAAATTAACATGGCAAGTCTGTAAACTGTAAGGCACAAGGGAAGGAAACCTAAGCCATCTTCTCTTCAAATGAACCGAACATCAGTCCTTTGCCAGGTTTGAAATGCCTCATAGATGCATTATCAATACCCATCAGTTTTGGTCACACTCTGAACCTTCAGTTACTTCAAATACACCGAAAGTGAAACCAATAAGAGCTGCAAGCTTACCCTCCAATATAATCGATGTTTGTATGGATAATTTACTTAACTATAGGCTCAAATCTGGGTATGACATGACCAGAAATGGAGTGAACAACTTGAACCAAATTGAAATGCTCCTAAAATATTCTGAACATTTATCATTTTTGGCAGGTTTGATATGACTCATTATGGCAATCAATTACCATTAGCCTTAACAGGCCGTTTGTGTGCACAGATAACGAGTTTGAAATAAAATGCATCTCAATGTAAACATTACTGAAAATCAGTTATACTAGAGTCAGAACTGTAAGCAATCTGAGATAAACTGGGAATGAACCTCAACCAGGAGAGTAGAAACTCTGACACATTCGTCCCTACAGTATATTGTTTCTGTGCCCCTTCCCCTGGCTGAGCTCTGACTGTTTAACTAAAGCGCTACTGTAGGGGCTGCTGTAGTTTAACTCCTGCCCACCAGTAGCTGCGCCAAACAAAAAAGGGTGACTCGGGGTCTGACTATTCATCCATTCTCTGCGCTTTAATTTCCATTGATTGTGAATGCAGGAGGGGGGGGAGAAAGGGGGTCTTCAGTGAAGGACCACGACACGCCTTCAGACGCGGACAGACCCTTACAAGCCATCTGCCACTAACCCCCCCCCCCCCCCCCCCTGCACATCCAGAAAACGACGTTTATTTCCCTTCTCCCCTCCCTCCCTCCTCCGGCTGAATCACGTCTCTATGTCCGCCGGTCTACCCTCCACTGGAAGCATGTTAAAGGACCTGTAACGGTATGGGCCCTCCGGTGCCATATGGCGAGGGGGAAGCCAGGAGGGTCCCCGAAGAGGAGACACCACATGGTCACTCGTGGGAACGTAAACACGGCGCGCATCACACGATATCGATCATAAGAAGCGCAATTTGGGAGGGGGAGTGTGGCGGAGGGGTGAGGAGGGGGGGGGGGGGGGGGGGGGTGATAATATGTGAGGATCAATTGATTTTTTTAACACTGATACCTCAGCAGAAATATTGACGCATCTCAACGCGCAGTGAAAGCTTCCAATCTGGGTGGAGTTCAGGAGTGTGCCAGGGTTGGAGGTTCAACTCCCTGATGGATGCAGGAGGAGCAAGGCAGGAGAGACACACTGCCGGGAGGAGGGGGGGGGGGGGGGGCAGGAGAGGAGGGAGGGGAGGGACGGGTGTCGTGAGGCCACTCGTGCTAAACAGTAGTCTATAATAAGCTAGAAGGAAATGGAAGGTTTTGAATCAGCACTTTCTCAGGAGATGGTTTTACGCACGCCTCCCCGAGTTAATGATGATTACGCACCAAATCAGACTGTACAAGCACCGTAGACCACCGCGCGCACCAACACACACCCCGACACACTTCTTTTGTACCGTATACTATTTAACAATAGCTAATACTGGCTGCTACTTTTTCGCACTCCATTATACTGTGACAAAATATACATATTTTTTACGTTTCACATTTAAAAAAATTACTTATCTTGTGTACTTTGGATTATTTGTATTTTTCTTTATCTATATTAATGTAATCTATATTAAATCTAGTATCTATGAATGTCATATAGATTTCCCCTGTGGGACGAATAAAGGATTTCTGTTTCTGAATGAAAGTCGTTAACGTGATAAAAACTTCCTGTAATAATCAAATGAAAACATATTCAATAATTCCCTTTAGTAAGTTTACATATCGCTTATTATCGTGAACTCCCTTTTAATGTGTGTTTTTAGGATAAATGCCATCATGTTGCGTGTTTTGGAGACGCCATGATTCCGGACCTGCTCTGTCTCCGCGGGTTTTACCTGCTGTAACGCAGGGATCAACAGGCCTTTGTGTCCAGATCAGATTACTGCGGCCAGCTGCTGGCAGAGGGGGCCACAGGCCACAGATCCGCGGCTCCCCAGGGCTCTTTGGGGCTCCTCCCGGCTCCCCACGGCTTCCCACGGCTCCTCCTCGGCTCCCGGTCCGGGCTGCTGCCTCATTAGCATACGGTGCTGTTACTGGAGCCGTGCTGAGCTTAAGTTTATGGGAAGAGTGCCGCAGTAATTACGTGGGGGGCCCAGAGACGCGACTGCAAGTGTGTGAGTGTGTGCGTTATAAGTGTGTGTGGGTATAGGGAGGGGCTGGGTGTGTGTGTGTGTGTGTGTGTGTGTGTGTGTGTGTGTGTGTGTGTGTGTTGTGTTGTGTGTGTGTTGTGTGTGTGTGTGTGTGTTGTGTGTGTGTGTGTGTGTGTGTGTGTGTGTGTGTGTGTGTGTGTGTGTGTGTGGACACTAGGGGCCTAAGGGGGAGGTAAAGAGAGAGAGAGCTGTACGTGGCCAGTCGCGTGCCAATGTTTATGAAAACACATCTGCCACCAGTGGTGTAAAGTAACCAAGTACAATTACTCAATTACTGTACTTAAGTACACACTTTGAGGTACTTTATAAGTATTATTATGTTATGCTACTTTGTACTTCTACCCCACTACAGTTCAGAGGTAAATGGTGTACTTTTCCTCCACTACATGTATTTAATACCTTTAGTTACTTTACAGATGTGGATGAATGATGTGAAATCTAATCAAGTGTTAAATCAGACTTTAGCTCCACCTGGAGTAAATCCACAAGCTACCCTGCAGTATACA